ATGAATTAGAGTTTATATATAAGCTGTACCTGAGACTATAACCATGTCATATCATGATTCAATACCTCTCTATTAAGAAATAAGTAATTTATTATAGGAATTAAGGCTTATTCAAATGTAGGAAAAACTAGAACTAGAGAAACTAAAGTTCCAGAAAGGATCAAAGAAAAAGCAGCTTTGATGTAGGCAAAAAATTTGGATCGTTCAAGAAGCACATAAGCACATCAGCTGAAATAAACTGCAAAGGGAGCTGGTAGGCAATTTGCAGCTCCCTGAAGTAAGAGTTGCAGGCAAGTAGCTGGTTATGGGCTTGGGAGGAGAGGGACAGTGAGAATGTGTAAGGACAATCTAGAATTCTGCCCAAAGTTCTGTGTTTGCCACTACAGCTAACTTTCTTTTGTGTGTTGAAAGAAAAACTGTATCATCACCCTCTAAGTGCTGTTACAGTTGCAAATGATGCTAGAGATGACTAAAATATTTCCTCTCTCAGGAAAAAATGACTACACACTACAGACTTCCCTTGGAATGAATTGGCTATTTTACTCCATTTTGTTTCTCCCAATACTATTATACAAACTTGTCTTGTGACTAAATTTTACGAGTATATAGAGGAACAAACTCTAGAAAAACACAGTTATAGTGAACCTTAATTTGGGTAAGGAAGCCTTCTGAATTTGTAAAATGGTGAGGATCCCAGTTAGCCTAAAAGGTTAATGAAGATTTGGTGAAATTATTTGATGAAACTGCTGAAACCGTTTTTGATCTATACTCACATAAAAGTATAGTCAGTTTTGAGAATACAGTCATATTTATGAAAGCACTCTTTTTTTAGACAAGGTCTATGCAGCCCAAGCTGACCTGGAGATTCTCTTGCCTAGGCTTCCTGAGCGCCTTTTGAACTTCTACACTGTAAGAAGCTCTGCAGAAAATACCATTTTGAGTTTAGATTAGTGCTTTACTGCTGTGTCTCTTCGTGACATGGTGGCACAATCCCAGCACACAGGAAGCTGCAGCAGGAGCATCACCACTTCCAGCCTCAGCTACCCAGTGAGATTCTATCTTAAAACAACAGCGGCAAACACTAAACTAAAATATCTGAAAGCTAATTTTTCTTTTGTGTTTGAGTGCGCATGCCGTGCACTAGTACTAAGGCTTGAATTCAGCCTCACACTCTCTCATTTAACTTTTTGTTCGAGGCTAATGCTTTGCCACTTGAGCCGCAAGTCCACATTCAGCATTTTGGTGGTTAACTGGAGATAAGAATATCAGGTGGGGGGGGGGGGGGGGGGGGAGTGCGGGGGAGGCTGGGAAGGGATGTGAAGGGTAAACAAAGGAGGAGGCTGCAATGCTTGATAAGAAATGTACTCATTATCTTGCCCATGTAATTGTAACCCCTCTGTACAGTATGTTCACAAAAAAATAAAAATCAAAATTTAAAAAAAATAAAATAAAATGGGAAATACGTCCTATGAGGTTATGAACTTTCAATTGGTTATCATGAAGTTCTTTTCACCCTGGGCAAAAGTAATTATCCAATAAATGATTATTAGTCTGAAAAAAACAAACAACAAAAAAAAGAATATCAAGTAGGGGCTGGGAAGGTGGCTCAGTGGTAGAGCACTTGCCTTGCATGCATGAGCCCCTGGGTTCAATTCCTCAGCACCACATAAGCAAAAAGAAAAAAGCCAGAAGTGGCCCTGTGGCTCAAGTGGTAGAGCGCCAGTCTTGAGCTGAAGAGCTGAGGGACAGCGCCCAGGCCCAGAGTTCAGGCCCCACAATCGGACCCCCCCCCCCCCCCCCGCAAAAAAAAAGAATTTCAAGGACTTCTTTAAGTTGGCTTCGAACAGTGATTCTCCAGATCTCAGCCCTTTAAATAGCTAGGATTACAGACCTGAATCACTGGTGTGTGGCGTAGCTATTTCCCTTTTAGTTTACTCAATATGACTGAGTGTCCAGCATAAAATTCCTTAGAAAAAATGGGCTTTGGGCTGGGAAGGTGGCTAAGTGGTAGAGCGCTTGCATTGCATGCATGAGGCCCTGAGTTCGATTCCTCAGACCACATAAGCGAAAAAGAAAAAAAACAGAAGGGGCGCTGTGGCTCAAGTGGTAAAGCGCTAGCCTTGAGCTGAAGAGCTGAGGGACAGCGCCCAGGCCCAGAGTTCAGGCCCCACGAACGGACCAAAAAAAAAAAAGGGGGGGGGGGGGGCTTTAACTAATTAAGAACCATGTCTGGAATATGTGTAAGCATGAAATTATCCACACTTCTAAGTTTGGAATATCGAAAACTGGCATCTGATGATGTTAGCTTAAAAAGTTGCTAAGAAACCTATACATTTACTATTTAATCCTGGAAAAGCAGACTTTTCCAGAATTGTCAGGGACATAGGTTAAACAAAAGCAGCAAAGATACCCACTGGACACTATGTTGAAAATGAATTATACAACTTGTGGGTGGTATGGGAGGGAAAAATTGCGAGACAGCTAGGGTAAGGGTGATATTGTACAAAAGAAAATTTACTCTTTGCCTGACTTGTAACTGTAACTCCTCTGTTTTTAGCATTTTCTAATAATATTAAAGATTCTTCTATCACAGCAGACCTTTACCTTTTCAAGAGGAACTCAATATTGGTTAAGTCTCCATTCACAAATGGAAGTTAATTTCTATTGTTTTTTTAAACCATTTAATTTAAAAAATAAGCCATTTAATGTGATGTTTAATATATATATTTAAAAAGCTGCACTATATCTTTTTAAAAAGCAGTGCCTAGCATTATTACAGTTTGCATATGAAATGCGTCTCCCCAAAAAACCATGTGTTGAAAGAGTTAGTCTTCAATGTAATGTTCAGAAATAGAGCTTTGGGGAAATGATTACATCACTGGGCTCTGACTCCATAATTATGTGGTCTCACCCACCTCAAGCTCTTTTTCTATTCCTGGGCTACCAAGAATTGAGCAGCCTTCCTCCATGTCAACTTTGTACTATGACATTCTGCCATGTCACAGGGCTACAGTATGTGGCCAAGCAACTGTGCACTAAAACCTCTGAAGCCATGAGCCAAAATAAACATCTGCTGCATTAAGTTGATTTTCTCAGGTATTTATCCCAATACACGGTGACAAACAAGTAAGCAAAATCCACCTTACTAGCCCACTTCCTGAAAAAGTGCCATAATTATATAAACCAATCTGAGCTACCAATACAAAGATAGTGCTAATAATCTTGATACTGCTTTAAAAGAAGTAACTATGTTTTCATTTAAAACATTCTCAGTTCCAAAAATCTGGTGATTCAGACATACACTTAGTCACTGATGCTTCACAAATATGCTCGTTATTCCTTGGGGGAAGACTAACATGCAAAAAAGAGGGAAAAAATGACTTGTTTCTCTAAGCCAATCTTTTTTCTCAAGTTTCTGTCTTATATTATTCTATATACCAAAGACTGTAGGGGATGATTTTAAATAGAAAAAACAGAACCATGGGGTTTACACTTTGCTCTTTGCATAAGTTCATTGTCAATTAGTTAATTGGTCTTCTATAGATGTTTTTTAGTCAAAATTTTAATTCTGTAAGTGGAATAGCTTAAAATAAATTTCAAAAACATCCATTTTTTAGCAAGGCTATTATTAATCTAAAGAAGTAATCTATAAGAGAAAATTATTCCTTATACAGATAAGTACAAATGAAGATTATATTAAGAACCTAAGTTAGATGTTAAAATAAAATGTATTTAATGCTAGAAAATATCAAACACATTAAGGTAACTTTCAAGGAAGATTATAAAATTCACTAATATACCTATAAATAGGATAGAATCTTAAGTGTTAGAAGATAAAACTGTATAAAATTTTTCTAAAGCTTCCTTCCGTGAATAATTCTAAAATGCTCAAAAGACTGAAATAAAATGTAAATTTCCAAAACCTATCATTTTCTTTTAACAAAGATCCTGACAGTTCTTGTCAGGTAGTAATCTTTTAAATACTATGTTAGGGCAGAAAAATGTCAAAGAAAATATCCCAGAATTCCATATGCAGCTGTTCTTTTTAACAAAAGTTTAAAAAAGAACTTTAAAAAGTATATTCAAAATTTGAGGGCTGGGAAGGTAGTTCAGTGGTAGAGTACTTGCCTTGCATGCATGAGGCCCTGGGTTCGATTCCTCAGCACCACATAAGCAGAAAAAGCCAGAAGTGGCACTGTGGCTCAAGTGGTAGAGCACTAGTCTTGAGCTGAAGAGCTGAGGGACAGCGCCCAGGCCCAGAGTTCAAGCCCCACAACCGACAAAAAAAAAAATAAATGAATAAAAAATTTGAAAGTAAAAATATTTTATGTGCAAACTTTATGAAGTATACTACACAATCTTTACACATTCACTTTTTCATAAAGCAACAAAAGTATGTATTTCTACATCTTCAGCATGATATTAGAGGAAGCATTTGAGTGGTATTCCAAAATTAGCAATAATTTTAAATTTCATATATTATCAAATATAAATGTTTTACATTGTATCTTTGAAAAGAAAATGCAATATTTCCAAATATTAGTCAAATATTATACAATGCTATATATTTTAATGTGCATACAGGAATAATAATTCCCTGTATTAATTTTCTTTTGTTGTTGTTGTTGTTCGTCATGGGGCTTGAACTCTGGGCCTGGGCTCTGTCCCTCAACTCTTGAGCTCAAGGTGAGCACTCTACCACTTGAGCCACAGTGCCACTTCTAGTTTTCTGGTGGTTTATTGGAGATAAGAGTATCACAGACTTTGCTTCCCAGGCTGGCTTTGAACCGCGATCCTCAGATCTCAACCTCCTGAGTAGCTAGGATTACAGGCATGAGCCACTGATGCCTGGCCCCCTGTATTAATCTTACATAGCATAAATTATTCTAATCCCACTAAGATCATGGCAATAAGTGTGCATTACATCTTTGTATTTTATGTAATTTTAAAAATCTGATTGATTACTAATGTGTACACAACCTACAAATTAATTAACTTACAGTTCCTTGTGTTTGTCTTCAGCCAAGATTTGGTCATTTGGTTTCAAAGAATACCTATAACACAGAAACAAAAATAGACTATAATCATATAAACATAGAAATACATTTGCCTCAGCAGACATCCAATTGTAATATGAACATACAGTCAATTAAATTCTATCAAACAAGCACTACTTCATTGACAAAACACCAAGAATGGCCAAGCACCTGCTTCTTTACTGGTCTTAATCATTGCTGATACTACTACTCCAGGACTGAAGGAGAATCCAACTGACCATGCTTTGAAACACAAGTACCTTTAATAATCCTCTTATATGAGTCATATGCAATATTACTCTCATCTAGCCATTCAAAATTCTACTTAGTGTTAAGTCTAAGTGTTCACAAACAATACACAATGATTCAATAAATACATTCTTAGCATGTACTATATGCCAGATTTTATACTAAACACAGAAAAAGGAATTAGAAAAAAAAAAGGTTTTTGTTCTATTTTTTATTTCTTTTGAGAAAAAGTATACACATACACACACAAACACACATCACATCACATTACAGGTAGCTACACAGCCACTGGTGTCATAGGCTGGCTACTTTATCTGGTGTCAAATTCAGAATGATTCTGCCTTAGCCATACCCATGTGGAGGTTTTAACTCAATCATTTACTAACTTACTGACTACAGGCAAGTACTTCACTTCTTTGTCTCAGCTTCCCTGTCTATAAAATAGAGGTTGCCTCTAAATAATGAAAAAAATAAAAATAAAATAAAAATAGAGGTTGCTATAATCATATGATTTTTTCCCAGGTTCATCTATTTCCCTGAAAATGACCTATTATTCTTCCTAATAGATGAATACAATTCCACCATTCATTCATACACACTCTACATTTCTAAGTTACTGTAGGGCATCTAGGTTGCTCACACAACTTGCCTATTGTGAATAGTATTGTAATGAACATGGGTATTAGGTGCCTTTACTGTGTCTTAACTTGTAATGTTTTAGATAAATGCTCAAGAGTGGTACCAATACATTTTGGATTATGGAGTAGTTCCATTTTTACTTTTTTAAGGAATCTCCATTCTGACTTCCATAGTAGTTGAACTAATTTACATTCTCATCAACAATGTATCAGGGCTCCTTTTACTCTACTCACTTGCCAGCATTTGTTGTTCATATTCTTGACAATGGCCATTCTAAGTTTAAATGGAATCTCCATGTTTTCCGATTTGTATTTCCTATATGACCAAGGATGTTGAACTTTTCCTCATGTATTTATTGACCTTTTTTACTTCTCCCTCTGACAAGTGTATTTAGTTACTCTACCCATTTATTAATTAGGTTTTTGAATCTCTGAGGATTTTTTCCCCTTCGGTTGTGGGGCCTGAACTCTGGGCCTGGGCACTGTCCTTCAGCTCTTCAGCTCAAGGCTAGCACTCTCCCACTTGAGCCACAGCGCCACTTCCAGTTTTCTGTGGTTTACTGGAGATAAGAGTCTCACGGACTTTCTTGCCGGGGCTGGCTTTGAACCACAATCCTCAGATCTCAGCCTCCTGAGTAGCTAAGATTACAGGCATGAGCCACTCTGTGCCAGGCTGAAGGTTTTTTGTTTTTTTGTTTTGTTTTTAGCTCTTTCTATATTCCAGTTACTAGGCACTTATAGCTAGCTAATCTCTCCGATTCTATAGGCTCTCTTTTTAGCTTAGTGACTTATCTACTTTGTTATACAGAAACTTTTTAGCTTAATCAATACCTCTTGCCAATTTTCTCTCATATTTGCTAAACCCCTGGAATTCTATTCAGGAAGCTCCTGCATATGCAATACGTTCTACTGTTTCCCTCCTCTTTTCTGCAGTAGTTTAAAGGTTCCAGGTTTTATATTGAGGTCTTTGATTTACTTTGAATTGATACTAGGACATAGTGATAGATCCAGTGTCAGTCTTCTGCATAGTGATATCCAATTTACCATTTGTTGAAGAGGCTTTTTTCTAATATACAGTATTTTGGGAACTTCTGTCAAAGTCAGATGGCAATGTGTGTGTGTGCAGGCTCATTTCTGGATCTTCTAGTCTGTTCCATTGGTCTTCTGATCTGCTTTTTGTCCCAGTACCAAGCTGATTTTTGTTACTATGGCTCTATAATATAGTTTGAAGTATAGAATTGTGATAACTGCCAGCAATGCTTTATTTTGCAAGAATTGCTTGTGCTTGCTTGTGCTTACTTGGGACTTTAGCATTTCAATATGGATTTTTGGAATTCTCTAAAGATCTTCATAAAATTTATACCTCTAGTGTTGGAAATGATATGAACATGAAATACATAGTACAATTAATTACAAAAATACTGCTGACAATTTTTTTTTTTTGGTCATTGGTGGGGCTTGAACTCTGGGCTTGGGGCACTGTCCCTGAGCTCTTCAGCTCAAGACAAGTGCTCTACTGTTTGAGTCACAGCGCCACTTCCGGTTTTTTCTAGTGGTTTATTGGAGATAAGAGTCTCACAGACTTTCCTGCCCCAGCTGGCTTTGAACCGCGATCCTCAGATCTCAGCCTCCTGAGTAGCTAGGATTATAGGCGTGAGCCACCGGCACCCCACTCTGCTGACAATTTTTTCAAGTGAGGAATCATTTTCCAAATTCCAGTAAGCCAGTACCAGGACCTGGAAATCACAAATATCCTAGCTACTCAAGAGGCTGAGATCTGACAACTGAGGACTGAAGCCAGAAGTCCCCATGAAACACTAAACTCCAATAAACTACTCAAAAAAGCCAGATGTGGCTCTGTGGCTCAAATAGTAGAGCGCTAGCCTTGAACATTAAAGAGGCTCAGAGACAGGGCCCAGGCAGAGTTCAAGCCCCAGAACCAACAACAACAACAAAAAAAACAATCCTCTGTATGTACAATGTATTATTATTCAACCATAAAGAATAAAATTATGTCATCTGCAGGAAAACGGATGGAACTGAAGAACATCATATTTTACAAAACAAGCCAGAGACATCATTGACAGGCCTCTGGAGGGCAGAGGCAGCTGAGAAAAGCCACTTCCTCATACACCACCTGTCCCAATTATATACCACCTGTCCCAATCATCCTGTCCTTTGGGGGCACTAGCCTGAAACTGTTCAAACTCGCACAACAAATTACATGCGGGGCTGGGAAGGTAGCTCAGTGGTAGGGTAGCTCAGTGGTAGAGCACTTGTCTTGCATGCCCGAGGCCCTGGGTTCGATTCCTCAGCACCACATAAGCAAAAAAAACAAAAAGCCGGAAGTGGCGCTGTGGCTCAAGTGGTAGAATGCTAGCCTTGAGCTGAAGAGCTGAGGGACAGCACCCAAGCCCAGAGTTCAGGTCCCACAAAACGACCAAAAAAACAAGTTACATGCTAAAAGTTCCTGATAATCCCAGCCATATAAACCCTGCTACAACCAGACTCTGTGTGACCTCTCTGATCCCGACCAGGGAGTTTGCCCAGGAACATACCCCAATAAGCTTTTCTTTCTTCACCTTTACCTCCTCCTGCATATTCTTTCCTTGCCTAAAAACTTTCATCTGGTGCAGAACCCGAGAAGGTGGTAGTACTTTGCTTTACTCTAGGGCTCTCCTTCCTTCCTCCTTTTTTGTATTCATTTATCTGTCTGATGAGCACCTTGGCTAATTTCATATCTTTGCTATTGTGAATAGTATACAGTGTACAGGCATCTCCTTTGAATGCTGATTTCATTTCCTTCAGATGTATACCCAGAAATTAATTAGCTCTGTCATATGGGAGCTTCACTTTCAGTTTTTTGAGGACCTTCCATACTGTTCTCCGTAGGACTACACATTTGCATTGTTTTGTTTAATTTTGCCAGTTCTGGTGGGCACTCTCCCGGAGTCTTTTTTCGTTGTTGTTGTTCAAGGCTAGCACTCTATCATTTGAGCCACAGCACCACTTCCAGCTTTTTCTGTTTATGTGGTACTGAGGAATTGAACGAGGGTTTCATGCATGCTAGGTACTAAGACACATTCCCAGCCCTACAAATTTACATTAGATATAAGCGTATAATGGTTTGATTTTTTTTTTTCACCTCGTCAGCATTTGTTATTTTTCAGCTTTTTTTTTGCATGCTTGCTGGTCTTGGGGCTTGAACTCAGGGCCTGGGTGCTGTCCCTGAGCATTTTTGCTCAAAGCTAATTCTCTATCACTTAGCCACAAGTCCACTTCCAGTTCCTGGGGGTTGATTGGAGATAAGAGTCTCATAGATTTTCCAGCTTGGGCTGGCTTCAGATCCTTGATCCTCAGATCTCAGCTTTCTGAATAGCTAGGATTACAGATATTTGCCACTGCCACTGGTTGCACTCAACAACTTTGAGCCTCAGCTCCACTTCCAGTTTTCTGGAGTTAACTGAAGGTAAGAGTTTCATAGACTTTCCTGCCCCAGCTGGCTTTCAACCACAATCCTTAGATCTCAACCTCTTCACAGAGCTAGAATTTTACAGGCATGAGTCACTAGAGCCTAGGTTTATTTCCCTCTAGTCCTAGGGCTAGACTTAGGTGCTGTCCCTGGGCTCCTTTTGCTCAAGCACTTGAGCCACAGCACCACTTCCAGCTTTTTCTATGATTAATTGGATTTCAGAGTTTCACAGACTTTCCTGCCCCAGCTGGCTTTGAACCACAATCTTCAGATCTTAAGACTCCTGAGTAGCTAGGATTATAGGCATAAGCCACCAGCACCCAGCTAGGAGTTACAAACTTTACACATTTTTTAAACTTTATTTTTTATTTTTTGGGGTCCGGTCATGGGGCTTGAACTCTGGGCCTGGGTGCTGTCCCTTAGCTCTTCAGCTCAAGGCTAGCACTCTACCACTTGAGCCACAGCACCACTTCCGGCTTTTTCCTTTTTGCTTATGTGGTGCTGAGGAATCAAACCCAGGGCCTCAGGCATGCAAGGCAAGCCTCTACCACTGAGCCACCTTCCCAGCCCCACATTTTTTTTTTTGGTCCGGTCATAGGGCCTGAACTCTGGGCCTGGGCGCTGTCCCTCAGCTCTTCAGCTCAAGACTAGCGCTCTAC